ACAGAACAAGGAATTTAACAGTATTTCCTCTAATATTTGTTTTTCTTCTAGGCTTATTTGTTTTATTTTAGCTAGAATAAAAGCAGGTTTAAATATTTTGAACCTATTTTAAGATCAATATTATTAGCCCCCTTAAGCAATATATATTTTTGATTGTCTGCAGAAGAAACTACTGTTATACAATGAATTGCCTAATTACTCTAATTAAGCCTTTGAATTGCACTTAAATTTGAATGCTTATATTTTGAAAAACATCTAGTAAAATATTATGTGCTGTCATCATAGCAAAGATAAAAGAAATCAGTAATTAGAAATGAGATATCAAAACTATTATGTTCAGAAATAAGTAAAAAAAAATTCTTTACATTAAACAGAAATTGGGCAGGAAAAGGTTTGCTTATATTCAAGAGGGCTAATAATTCTAACTTCAAGTGTATATATACAGTTATTTTCCACCCTGCAAAGGAAAGAGAAATAAATACAATAGAATAAAAATATAAAACAAACTGTGCTTTAAGCATCTCCACTGTAAAAAAAACACTTTAGCTACAGAAATCCTTCAGTCAAGAGCAGAGAAACATTTTCTCGTTATGTTTGATTAATGATAATAAAAACAGGCGGCAGCAGGAATATTTTGCGCTGTCTCTTTAATGGTTTCTCTTTCACGTCTTTTGATCCTCAACTCGTTTGTTTATTACACAAATGAGGGTTAATATAAATAATCACTAAACACCGCGTTTTGACACCTATTTGACCATTAAAGCGCTCACGTTAAGATGACTAGATGTCTGCGCTTCTCTGCTCGTCTCAGGGTGCGAATGAGAGCGAATGCTGACGGCCGCATGCTTCTGACTGCGTGTGCGTGTTGCACACACACATAAGCACGCGGTCTTTCGCAACACATACAACTGGAAAGGGGGCGGTATATGATGCATATAATTGTTTATCTTGATTAATGCTTTTTTATAATCGTTTGAAATCGAAATCGGATTTTGGATTAATTGTACAGCCCTGTATAATAGTGGAGCATTTTATGCCTTTTTCTACCTCAACACTTATCCTCTCCCGCGCCCCCCTTGTGAACTCTGGCCAGGTTGGGAACCACTGACGTAGATGATGGTGTGTTTAACCTGATGAGAACATGGAGTAGAAGAAACACCATTGGGCACAGGGCTATAGTCAATGTCCCAGGGCAACGTGGGGGAAATATACAGTAACACTCTGTGCAACCATTACAAAGAATGGGGTCCTCCACTGCCATGACCATATGGGCCCTTACAACACAGCACATATACTTACATTCTTGGACCAATTGCACAACATAACAGCAGAAAATCAAATCGATCATTTGCAATACATTGTTGTCTGGGACAATGTGTCTTTCCACCGTTCTGCTCTGGTTCAGAACTGGTTTCAGCAACATCCACATTTCAACGTCCTATATCTTCCACCACACTCTCCATTCCTCAACCCTATTGAAGAGTTTTTCTTGGCATAGTGGTGAAAGGTATATGATCTCCGTCTACAAGCTGAGGTTCCCCTCATCCAAGCCATGGAGGAGGCCTGTGACCAGATGGAGGTAGCAGCAATACAAGATTCTACATTCAAGACATTTCTTTCCAAGGTGTCTAGCTAAGGACAACATTGCAATGTTGATAATTCTCATGCCAGATCCAGCTAGACGAAGAGACAATGTCTAACTTACAGTTCAATACGTAAAGTGACATGTTACAGTACTTTGAATCTTCATGTAAACATGTTGGACATCTTGAGGAATAAATGAGTTTCTTCAAGGTGCAACATTGTTCTTGAGTAGTGTTTGGGAATTTACTTTTTATTTGTGCTTTGTTGATGGTAGCCTACTCTAATCATAGGGAAGTAGAAGTGCTAAAAGTGTTTTAGGTTTATCACAGCAGTGTGTAACTCGTGCAAACAGTGTATAAATGTGAAACGTGTGTTTCTTATGGTAAAAAAAGTGTGGTTTTTAAACACAAGTGTATAGTTTTCACAAGAGTGTTTAATTATGCAAAGGATCTGTAGTGTTTTGCTAATTGGGTGTGTGGTTGTGCTAATTGTGTTTACTGTTTTGAAAACATGGGCCCTGTTTTAAAAATCGTGCTTAAGCAATCCAAAAAAAAAATAACTTAGAGTTTAGGAAACGTGTTAAATGTATTGAAAAAACTGTCATAGCCATTATAAAAAAACTGTAATTGTTTTTTATTTTTGTCACTTTTTCTCACCACATTATGCAGCAGTGGTGCATCACAATAAAAAACGTGTTGCAAGTTGTGTCTAAACAGGTGAAAAGTGCTTATGGTTTTGCCAAAAGATAGATTGATTCAATCAGTGGGTTCAGGCAACGGAGCATTTGGTTCAGACAATAGGGTTTAGTGTTTTAGCAGTTGAGAAACACTGTAATAGAACTTGAAAATAAGGTTTTGTGTTTAATGGTGTAAGAAAATGGAGAAAGGGTTCAGAAATTGTTTTAGCAATCAAAAAAAAAAATTTAAATAAATAAAAAAACTGTAAGATTTAAACAGATTGTCACAAATTCCATGTGAAGTGAAATTAATAATAGCAAATACTGTTATATGCAAATCAATGTGCATATAACTGAACAGAGTATATGATAAGTACAAACAATAATTATATTAACTTAATATATTTAAATTTAGAACCACATAAACTATAATATGTGTCTGTATATTAAACACTTTCAGAAAAAAGGTACACAGTGGTACAAATAATGTTCCTTAAGGACCTTAATGTTCCTTAAGTACCTTTGTAAAAGTTGTACCTTATGGTACAGATAAGACCTTATATAGTACTGTTCTGTACCTTTTATGGTCTAATTGAAATGAAGCTACACAATATTTCTCATATAAAAGGTACATAAGTGTTGGACAACTCCTTTATTACAACATCTCTAAAAATAAATAGTACTGGAAAGGCAAAGTGATTTATAAATAAACTCCTATTAAAACAAGAATCTTCATTTAAAAGCATACAGTTGAGGTTATTAGATCCCTTTAACTTTCTTTTTAAAATATTTTCCAAATAACGTTCAACTGAGCAAGGATATTTTCACAGTATGTCTGATAATATTTTTTCTTCCAGAAAAAGTCTTTTTTGTTTAATTTTGGCTAGAATAAAAGCAGTTTTTAATTTTTTAAACACCATTTTAAGGTCAAAATTATTAGCCCCTTTAAGCTATATTTTTTCAAGACTGTCTACAAAACAAACCTTCGTTATACAATAACTTGCCTAATTACCATAACCTGCCTAGTTAGCTAATTAGTTAAGCCTTTAAATGTCACTTTGGGCTGTCTTGATAAATATCTAGTCAAACATTATTTAGTCATCATGGCAAAGATAAAATAAATCTGTTTTTAGAAATGATTTATTAAAACTATTATGTTTAGAAATGTGTTTAAAAATCTCTCTGTCGAACAGAAATTGGGGAAAAAATAAACAAGCGGTCTAAAAATTCAGGGGGGCTAATAATGCTAACTTCAACTGTATGTTTAAAGAAACTCGTAAACATTTATTATTAAGTTCTATAATACAAAAAAATGGTAAAACAAAACTTTAGGTGTTGGAAAGTAAACATGTAAGGCTTTTTAATAAACATTTAGAAAACATCTACTGATAATTACAGTTTCATTATTGATATTCGCACCTTTTGGTGTTTGCCTTCCACTAGTATCTGGCGAAAGTCCTGCATATACAAAGTGTTCATGCAAACATTTTAGTATTGTAAAACTAATTAAACATTGTGCATATCTCATTACAATATGTTTGCATTTCTATTTTAAAATTAAGTAAATTAAATGAACTTTGACATGCTTACAAAGGCATCATGTGAAAATTGGAGATTTTTGGTTTGTTTGTTTGTTTGTTTGTTTGTTTGTTTGTTTGTTTGTTTGTTTAATATTGTACATGGGAGAATGTATTTCTGTAACTTTTTGTGAAAAAAGTTGTGAAATGTTTAGCAAAAATAGATATTTTGATTTATGTTAGTGTTTTTTTATTCTTTATTATAAATGGAAAAGGTGCATTTACACAACAAGAAACGTCTTTAAAACATTGTTTAAAAATGTATTTGATGTTTTATATTTACTGAAAATAAACTGAGGCATTTTGGATGAAGCAAAATGTATTTAAATAGTTCTTGAAGAAACACCTTTGACAATGTTAGGGTACAAAATGTCTTGTCACTGTAGTGGTATTGTATAGTGGTTTGTCATAGATCAGATTTGTGCCTTTGGGGTACAATATTGTTTTTGCAGATTTAAAAACCAAAGGTACATTTAGGTTTTCCATGGGTCAAATCATGTCCTTGTCCTTAAAAGTACAAACTGCAATAGCACAAATTAGTTTCTTTGTATTAAGGTACAATTCTGTCCCATAAAAAGTTACTGCCCCAATGCCAAGGGTTTGTACCTTCTTTGGTATACAACATTTTTTCTGAGAGTGCAGTATTGGTTATTCATGTGACTTTGGTTTTATATATTATAGGGGGTCTGTAAAGATTATATCACTGATTTATAGGCTAATATTCAATAGCAAAACAAATAAAATAATGGCATGTGGAAAAAAAACGTAGGGGGCTGGACTCTACCCTCTGGGGTGTTTCTTTACTGTTTCCAGTGGCAAACCGATGATTATTTTTTCAGTCGTGGCTTGTTATGCTCTCTGAGCATTCTCTGCTTTCTCTGAATAATTTTCTGCATCAGTAATTTTTCCGGGTTATCATTTTAAGACCGTACATCGATTTTATCTGAAATGCCTACTTTTATGATTTAGTATGGACTTCTAAATTCCACTAATACTTCATATGTGTTTACGTGGTGTCAGATCTATTTGTTTTTTTTTATATAAAACGCGTTCCAGATTTAGTCTGTGATTGCATAACGCGATTGTGCGCTCCTCTCCCGTTGGCTGCTCGTGCGCTGCTCAAAGTGGAGGGAACGAGAGGGAGGGAGCTTCGGCACGCGCGTATGCACAACTATGTAACAGCCACGTAATATTCATGCACTGAGGTTCACGAGAATAAAAAAATAAATCATAAACGCCGGGAATTTTAAAAAGCCAGGTAAGTTATTCTTTTTTTCTATGACACATTCTGGGTGGTTAATTTTGTTCTTCAAATCAAAACAACAATGTAATGGCGCGACGTGCCAAATACGCATCTTCAGCGCGCTGGATTAGTGTTTGTTTACTAAGCTTCTCCTGCTCGAGTTCACAGGGTGCAGTGTTTATACTGAATAAATCCTGCATGTTTATTGAAAAATATCACTTTTACTCATATGTCTGACCATTTGTGTTGATAATAATTTTCAGAAAGCTGTTTTTAAACACCAGTTTCCCCCTTGCAGAGCTGCAGAACATGTAACAGCACGACTGGAATGTTTAAATCAATTAGTTCATTATTAATGACATATGTGCGCTGTATTATGCAATTGCAATCTTTTCGGGGCTGCATGTTTTCCCTGTGTTGTAGGCTACTGCAACTGAATCCTGCTCACTCCAGCTAAACAGTAGCTTGAAATCACTCGACGGGCCCACATAATCCTTAGATGTTAAAATATAGAAATGTTTGCAAACATGCGCGCATACACAGCTATCCTTACTCAAACCCACCAAAAACAAGTTTCAACTAATTACAAAACATAAACAAAGGGTTCCAAGTGTTGATGTATTTGTCTTTAAATGTTTTACAGACAAGTTTTGCTGGTTGAGATGGAGTAACTTGTGCAAAAGTGTTGGGTTGGTTATTGGTTAGTTCGTGGGACTTTAAATGCGAAGATTCCTGCAGCGAGGTTGCACACACACCCACGAGCTTTAGGGCGCTTTAAGTACACCGTGTTACCAAACCTATTGTCAGGCGATCCATGTACTGACGACCTTTCACAGAAATACACGTTCGAAATCTGACACTGTTGCAGTACTTAAGTATTATAAAAGTACAAAATTGTAGCTTTTAAATACAGTCCCAGTGACAACATTGTAATGTAACATTTCTGTGTGTACAAACTTTAGATAATTTTAATAGCATTGTAACTGGATTAAGCATTCGCTTTGTGTGAAAGTTGTCAGAAAGTTTGTGTTTTGTGATTTCTTTATTCAAATAAATAAAAAGCTTCATTAATATATTGCAGTTGGTGTGGTTATGTTGACAAAAAATGACAAAAAGTTATGATAAATTATTTTAAATAGCTTTAAACATATGCTGGAATAGTTGGCGGTTCATTCCACTGTGGCGACCCCTGATAAATAAAGTGACTAAGGTGAATGAAAATGAATGATTGAAGAGACTTTAAAGAAAGTACAACAGCACATATGCTAATAATCTAAACTTGTTTTTATGTTGACCTACAAACTCACATGCAAATGCCATGTGCAAAGCACTTCCCATGGGCAATACTAAATTTGTTCTGTACAATGCATTTTATAAAAAACATCAGCTATACTTTTTTGGAGCGCACGTGAATGTGATACTCTTGGAGAGCAGCTTTATAATCTGATAACCCTAATACCTTTGAATTGAAGGCATGAATATAGCAAGTTTATCTGAAGTTGACATTAAGTACGTTTACATGGACACCAATAATCCTAATTTAATGCGATTGAGACAATACTCTGATTAAGAGTCTACCATGTAAACAGTGTTTTTTGACTAATTTAATCATTAAGGTCTGATATAAATCAATAATTAAGGTCATAATGGAACTATACAGAAATCAAACTAACGTGGAGTATGCTGATTTTACTGACATTATTGACTGCAGTATAGACATGTAGACACTGCAATCAAACTTACTGTCGTGTAGGATTTTCGCTGCATTTTGCGTCAGGATAGTCTACACATGGCTGTTTGATGTTATTTTTTGCATCTACTAAGTCAGTGAAGGACCACAGACATCTGCATCACGAAATGTGAAGGTTTTCTCCCATACAGTGTGCGGCAGGGCACCTCATTTTACAGATCCCCCTCCTCAATCGCCCTCTTCCCCCGTCCGCTGTTCACTTTCACTTTCTTCCACGACTCCCTAAACCTCTTCACTTTTATCCGCGACCACCCACCGCTCTTCACTTCGTACTTCATCAGCGACACCCCTCTGCCATCCAAAACCAACCCCCCCTACCACCTCTCTATCGTTACATTTCTCCATCCTTGGCTAACCTGCTGGATCCGTTACCCCGATCTGTTCCAGGACCTCGCATAAACAAATTAGGCACTGGTGTGCGGTATCAAATTTCATTAAAACAACACTCTTCCAGCAGTTCATACTCGCATGCATTATCTCATTTATCATGGGGGGCATGGATGAAATGTTCCTGAATGAAAGTGAAAGTGCCAAACTGCATTTAAAGTTGACAAATTAAAAATGAAATACCTAAAATTACATGAAACTCTGGGGAAATTGTGGATATCGTGATGACATTAGGACGTTAATCAAATTATGTGCTATAACACGTAAAACTGGATCATAAACTGAACTTTCAAAAAGCAACTCCTGTAAACACCTTAATTATATTATTGTCTTATTCAGATTAAGGCAAATAATTTTATTACTGATGTCCATGTAAATGTAGTCATTGTCTTATGTCACTAGTGTTGTTAATCTGGCACATCATGACAACCCAGCTAAGTTGTGGTGGTAGCATTTAGCAATACTGCTATGTTTGATGTTTTTATCTTCCAGAGCACCAGTTTTCACAGGGGTAGTGTTTTAGTGAGCGTGTTTCTGCAAAGAGCAGATATTCATATTTAGTTGCCCTGAAGGTGTATGCATGAGGAAGGTGTTCATCTGGTTCAGCAAACCCAAATGCATAGACACAAACAAAGCTCGCTCTTCTGCCTCACTGGTAATGAACTCTGACAGAAGGCCCACTGACGCATTCACAGCCTTTAAATGATTTTCCTATCAAAATATGTTCACTGTAGAGGCACAAATGTGAACAAATACACATGATTATCTGGCTTAATAACAACATGTTGTAGTATTGACTAGTTCAGGCAGGGCTAACGTTCAGTTTGTGCTTGTAAAGCTTTTATTTAATACGTATTGACTCAATCCTTATGACAATGTACTCAAACCCAATTCCTGGAGGGCAGCAGCTCTGCATAGTTTAGCTCCAACCACCTCCAACTCACACCTGCTTAATAGTCTTTAGTAGTCTTGATCGCCTTGATTAGCTGGATCAGCTGTGCTAGATTAGAGTTGGAGCAAAACTGTGCAGAGCTGCGGCCCTCCAGTTTTTGAGTTCTGTTTTTGAGTATCTTCTGTCTTTTGGCATACTCTACAAATTTGATTGTACACTGTACATACACAGTGGTTTTTAAGCAATAAGTGAACGTGCCAAACCAGGAAAGGAGCCCACAGCACAAATGTGTTTGTTTATGTGGTGCACACATTGATTTTCCCACTTCTTCAGCTCCTGTTCCATATTTGTGCAGAGCTGTTTGTTATGAAACACATGGGTACTACTATGTGTTATAGTTGAGTTGGAGGTGTGGCACGCCAGAATATCTCATTAAGTTGATATATTTTTCTCTGCCTCTGCAATTATTGTCAGAAGCAGCTGTCAGCTGCATCACTCAAGGGCAATTCAGGTTTATGTCGCAAGCAGCTTTTACCGCATTCCTCAACCACAGTTAAAAAGGTTCACACAGAAAAATATGAAGAACTATGAAGTGATATGATAGGGTGGTAAGGCAGTGAAGGGGGAAGCGCTGTCGCCTCGCAGCAAGAAGGTCGCTGGTTTGAGCCTTGGTTGGGTTAGCTCTGTGTAGAGATTGCAGGTTTTCCCTGTGTTTGTGTGGGTTTCCTTTGAGTGCTCTGGTTTCCCCCACAGTCCAAAGACATGTGCGGTAGGAGAATTGGGTAAGTTAAATCGTCCGTAGAGTATGTGTGTATGTCCTGGTCCTCCAGATTGGGGGTTGAGTGTTGGGCTAACAACTCACCTCATAAAAATAGATGTTACAAAACACCAACATGGTGCGGCTATGTATCAACTTCAATATAAATGGCCCAGGAAGTAAGTATGAAGTGATATGATACACTTTTGCTTTGTTACTCTTCAATAAATCTAAATCAATTATAAAGTGTATTATATTCATTCATTCATTCAATTTCTTTTTGGCTTAGCTCGTTTAATTATCCGGGGTTGCCACAGCAGAATGAACCGCCAACTTATCCAGCACGTTTTTACGCAGCAGATGCCCTTCCAGCCACAACCCATGTCTGGGAAACACACACTCATTCACACTCATACACTACGGACAATTTAGCCTACCCAACTGACTTGTACTGCATGTGTTTGGACTGTGGGGGAAACCTGAGCAGCCAGAGGAAACCCACGTGAACACAGGGAGAACATGCAAACTCCACACAGAAATGCAAACTGACCCAGCCGAGGCTCGAACCAGCGACCTTCTTGCGCCACTGCGTCGCCAAAATGTATTATATTTAAAGGGTAAAATTGTTTATAACTGTCTTTTCAATCAAATGTGTGTTGACGGTATGTGTACACAACCACTCTAGAATGATAAACATCCTTTTGTTGTGGTTCCGATCTAGATTTTATTTTTGGGTTTTACATGAGTAAAATAATTGAAACATGTTGATCGGCTGCAGCTCTGCACAGTTTAGTTTTAACCCTAATGAAACACATGTAATCAAAATAAATGAGTCCTTCAGGCTTGTTTGTAACCTACAAATAAAGCTGTGGTTACACTAGAGTTTGAGCTTGGATTTAACAAGATGATTAGACATTTAAAAAAGCGAGTGATTGATCCATATTTTAAATTTCTGTCCAGAGAGGTCATGTTTTGATCTTTGAGTGGTCTCACGCAATCATCTGATGCGATTCGCAGGTCAGAGTTTACCAAGCTCGAACTGTACAACGTAGCAAACTGTAAAACTTGTCGGACGAGTTTGCGTTTCCTGTCTGACGCATTCATGTATGGAAGTCTATGGGGAGAAAAGTGCAGTGTGACTGCAGCTTCAGTGTGTGAAAAAAATTGAAACTAAACTCTGCAGAGCTGCAGCTCTCTAAGAATTTCTCACCACTGTACTACAGCATAAACTGCACAGACTTGCTGCCCAAAAGTTTGATTGATATAAGTTGAGATGACTAGAAAATTTAAATTGATTCAACAACAACAAAAACACAAGGGGAGCAAGAATGTATTTATAGTGGCAACAGCAATAAGCACGGTAGTGTTGCTCTGAAACAACAAAATGTTCTGCACCAGCTTTTTTGAACAGTAATAACTTGTTAGTTGTTGTATAAAATGAGGATCACATTTGCAATTACACCCATGCAATTACCCCATGATAATCAGGAAAATGTCACTCTTTTAGTTGTGTGATTAGCTTAATTACATCATCTTTTATAAACATAACTACTTAACTAATAGAGCCTTTCTGACAGGTTTATGAGTCTGTCTTTCTGTCTTTCTCTCTATTTTTGCTTTTAGTTTTTTTGTTTTTTTCCAAAGTGAGTGACATACTTGATAATGTCAGGTTGCACATTGTCCGAACAAAACTACAGTATTATCAAGTGACAAATATCACATTGTTATATTTTGTACCATGTACCAAGTCCAAAAAGCTGTGTTAAAGTAGTCATAGAATAATAATTGGAAATCACCATTATCACCCTCATTCCAGAACAGGATTTCTGATTTGATGTTATTTGGATGGAGATTCAAATTTTTGGCTATGAGGTCAATTTCTTGATTTATTTGACAAATCCATATCTTAAGAGCAATCCAGTGACCCCTCTGAGGTTTAAGTCATATACCCTCTCTAGTTTTGACTGTATGTTTTGTGACTATGATGCTTTTTTTTCTTTTTTGATTTTTTTTATATTGTCTTTTGTATGTGGGCTGCATGGTGGCGCAGTGGGTAGCACGATTGCCTCACAGCAAGAAAATCGCTGGGTCGAGCCTTGGCTGGGTCAGTTGGAGTTTCTGTGTGGAGTTTGCATGTTCTCCCCGTGTTCGAGTGTTTTCTCTCCAGGTGCATCCCCCAACGGGTGTTTCCCCCTTAATTCCAAAGACATGTGAAAAAGGTGAATTGGGTACGCTAAATTGTCTGTAGTGTACGTGTGTGAATCGGAGTGTATGGATGTTTCCCAGTGATGGGTTGTAGATGGAAGGGCATCCACTGTGTAAAGCATATGCTGGATAAGTTGGCGGTTCACTCTGCTGTGGCGACCCCAGATTTACAAAGGGACTAAGCCGAAAAGAAAATGAATCAATGTCATTTGTATGTCTACAGTATGAGCCAGTGTTTGTTCTTGTTCTGTGTCTATATGCATATTTTATAGACGCAGTGGCATAGTAGGTAGTGCTGTCGCCTCACAGCAAAAAGATCACTGGTTGGAGCCTCTGCTGGGTCAGTTGGCGTTTCTTTGTGGAGTTTGCATGTTCTCCCTGCGTTCACGTGAGTTTGCTCTTGAGATAGAGGGTGTGCGGGGGCACTTTTGATCATTTTGGAGGGGCACTTTCTATCCGAGACTAAAAAGGGCATGTGCACTGCACAGGTTGATGTATATAAACTTAAAATATAGGTAATTAAAAAGTAGTCAGAGGCAAAATTTAATGTGTTTTATGTGAGTGAACTTTTCTACTTTTTTTTTTTTTACGTTTACTATTATTACTGTTATTATTGTAAAAACCATCTACCGTTTCTTCCATAGGATGGCATTTCCTGTAGATATTCTGACAAATGTGGATCATGAGTCCTTGGAGCAGGCAGCAGAGGAATACATGTCTCAGCTTCCATATAGAAAACCTGAGTACCTCATCCTGCCTAATTCCAAACAGGTAATATGGGAAAATGCCATATACTGATATAGTACCAAATCTCTCTAAGAGTTGTCATGACAGAAATAAGAAATACTTCTTTCTTTAAAAAATAAATGGTAGTTAAAACAGGGTATTAGCGTGGTCTTAAAATTCAAAAACCAAATTTCAGGCCTTAAAAAGTCTTAAATCCACTGAAATATTGTGTTGTAGGTCTTAAATCATTTTAAATAGGTTTTGATTTTCCTACACTGTAAAACCCAACAGTCAACTTTATCATAAGAAATGAGTGTAGTTAACCCAAATTTTACTAAAAATTAATTCTACTCATTTGAAAAGAGTTTTGAACTCAGTGTTGAAAATAATGCGTTAATTAAATACTTCATTACTTCAACTTAAGTGGATTAAGTTTACAGTACTCGTTAGGATTAGTTTTTTAACTTAAATGTTTTGTTGCAATCGGTTTCCTCAAATGGTTAGATTTTACAGTGTGTTCATGTAAAGCTAAAAGTTTTAAGAAATGTTTATTTTTTATTTCTTAATATGGTTGAATTCTCTTCCCTACAATAACATGTTAATAAGTATTGTTAAGGTTTTAAACTGGTCAATTAAAAAATCTTTTTCATTTTGCCTTGTGTAAGTCTGAAATTTCATTCATTATGGTCTTAAAATGTCTTAAATTTGACTTGATGAAAACTGTAGAAACCCTGTTAAAAGTTATAAGAAACATTTTAATCTTTTCAAATATGTTTCCTCATCAACAGATAGAGATTGGTCTCTGCAATGTGAGTTTCGTCCCTCTATATGGTGCAGATACTAAGAAGAAGATCCTTGCATTGTTCTCGCCTGACGACTCCATCACAGGTAATATGATTATGAAAATCTGAGTTACTTGCACATATTGTGATGTTACCACTATCTGTTTTATGTGAGATTGAATTATATCTACTGTACAGTTGTAGGGCTTTATTTGCTGGGGAAGTGGTGGGGAGTTGAAGAGGTTCTTAAAACAGCAGAGCCTTCAAGAACAGGCTTGATCAAGGTCAGTGTTTTCTCTTTTTTATGCAATGCTTCAGTGGCCTAAAAGTGCCATCATTAATATTTTGTTAAACTGCAAATGTATTCATTATTTGAAATAGCGTGCAAAACTGCTACAGCACTATTGCCATGTTTATGCCAGGTCAGCACTCTTGGGGAGAGGATAGTCCTGTATGTCCTCAACAGAATTGTGTTGAGAAATGAGAAGAGCGGTGAAGAGGTTTTCTTCCTCTGCCATGGTGAGCATGAATCTGCAAAAATACTGTGGAAGGATGGAGTGGCCATTGGCTTTTACTCATTCAAGCCCAAAGGTAAGGATAGTTCTTATAAAGCCTTGTCTATAATTTTTAAGTAATATTTCCTGGCTATATTGTAGAGTGATGTTGCTTGGCTACTTTTCTACTGAGAATGCACAACAAAACTGTGCGTTAGATCAGTCATCTGCAAATTTTGAGGTCCTCCAATCAGAATAATAGCAGCGAATCACGTGACCAGCTCGGAGCTATCAGTAGCAGTTGTTCGGTGGAAAGTGAGCATTTCCTACAGCTGTGGAATTTAATCCTTTTCACACTTATAATCATACTGGTGAGATCATCACACTGGTCCCTCAAGCGTACGATCACATGTCATTGAGCTGAGGTAGGGATGGGGAGTGGACTCCGAAAGAATCGATTTCTCGACTCTTAATGGACATAGACTCCAGGACAGGTTATTGATCAATTAACGATCGAGCATGTGATGCCGTTAAAAAAAATTACAGAAAGTAACAACTTTAAATTGACAATTTTGGGCGTGCCTTATGTGAATGTTCTCTGTGCCAAATTATTTCGTTAGGTTAAGATATTTAGGCTATTAAGGCTATCTTTGTTGATGTACTGCTATACTTCTTTTCATTAAAAATTTTGATAATAATTTCATGTTTTACCTTTCTGTCTCTTGCAAGCAGTATGTAAAAGGATCTAAATTAGACAATTAAAATATGCTGTAAAAAAATTGTAGTCTAATAACTACTTTCAACTGCCAAAGAATAGCATTGTATAAAGCGTCATTAATGTTTCATTCTTGCGCTATTTCAAATGAATGTAAATGGAGTTGATTCTGCAGTCGATTTCATGGACTCAAAAATTAGGAGTTAAGAACTCAAAACAAATTAAATCGAACACCCCTAGGCTGAGGTATAGAAAGAGGCACATGGTGCTCGTAAGAAATGACAGTTTATCAGTGTTTTCAAACAAATAACATTTATTTTAGGTTTCAGACTTTCAAATACACATATGTACTAGCTAGTCATGGGACAATAACTGGTTTTAAGGTATACTGCGGTTCGGAAAAGTCAAAGTTTTAAAACCACCAAAATTTTCTGCTATACCGTTCCTAGGGTATATGTAGGATTTTTTATCTATGTTTTTTAGAACAACATTATCTCCAGCAGAAAAGATATCCAAAGATTTAACGTTTTAAATTGTCAAGAAATCTGTGTTTTAAAATAAAGACAACAGAAGTCAGCGATTGATTTGAATTATTCAGCCTGACATGTTTACTGCTCCAAAATATTTTAAATGTTTCTCAAAATAAAATATATTGTGTTAAAAGGGGAAATGCTGTGCTTCATTGACATAAGAAACACACTGTTTATGTTTACTCTTTTCCTTTTACAGTTAAACAGCTGCTAACTTCCATTTATTTTGACAGAAAACTATGAATTGACATGTTCCAGCAAATCTTCCAACAGAATAGAAATACCCATCAAATATCAAACAATGATAATTTTTAAGCTGCTTTTTTATGATGGAATACACATGAGGATTGGAATATCAGATATTTCACAATATAATATTTACATTTATCATTTGCATTTGCTAGAAAGGGAAAAAAGAAACAATATACAGTATGCATAAATAACTGGGGCTGTGGTGATAAACTTGACGCAGTATGGTCATACAGTATAGTCGTATAAAGTATTTAAACTGTACGTGTGAAAGGGTTAAAGGTGCAGTAAGTGATTTAGATTCCTTGTATACTTTTGCATAGGTGTCAAGTTTCTGTGTGTTTGTTTTGTGCTTCCTTGTCATGCATTCATTATATTAGCTTTATTATTAATGTGTTTCACTTCTGCTATGATAAATAAACAACCACTCTTGCATTCAGCTAGTGGGAGCTGTTCAAGAACATTAAACTTTACGATTGGGGCTCTGAGCAAGGTTTTGGTAGCAGATGGTAACAATGAATTTTTGTTCCACTGAATAGTTGACCTGTGTCCCACCCAGTTGCCAGTTGACAGAAACATTGCACAAAAAATGACATCATGTATCATTACATTTAGACCTTAATTATTGGATACATCATATTACTCTTCATTTACAGGGAGCTTGTGCAAAAACTTTGTGACCCAGTGCTATCAGCTTCCTGTCATGGACACGGTTTTTGTCAGGAAGTGTCACCGAGGCAAGGATCATGGCGTAAAGATACTGGAAGATTTTTTTTGTAGCTTCAGAAATGAGGATACAGGATTAAAATTTCCTCTTTCTGAAGCTATGTATAAAGGTATGGAATCAATCTTACATTCTGGCTAGTCACCTTTTGTTACATTCTATCAGATATTGTTCATGGAAACAACTGTCTCTCTTCTTACAGTTTGTGAAAAGTACTTGAGAATATATCCAGCAGACAAAGAGTTCCTCTGGGAAGTAGAAAATACAGGAGGCTTTTTCCAGAGAACTCTAATAGCGAAGAGGCTACAAGGGTTGAAGCAAAAAGGTAAAGAAAATATGTGTATTTTTAGCTTTATTGGCACTTTTCCTAATCAGTGCTTTTATAAATATATGTTTAAACTGCACCAATGATGAAAATCAACTTTTGTAAGCTGTTTGGACAGAACTGTTTGTAGGTATAGTGTGTCCACAGGCATATTGGAGTGATATAAACACAATAAGTCTCTTTTTTTATTTCTTGACGTTAAAATAGGATCTAAATCACTCCCAATTTAAGGCCCCCACAACGTAACATAAGAGTTAGAGGATGACGCGGGAGTGGATTTTTACTCCAGTCCACAACAAAGTTAAAAAAAATAATCCTGTCCCATCCCGCTCCTGATAAAATGACTCCCACTCCAATCCCGCTCCTGTTTAAAATGTCTCCCGCTCCTGTACCGCTCCCATATATATATTTTTTAAGTAGTACGTAGAATTTGATTTTATCTGCTGTTTTAGACCAGCTTCTGAGTCCCTGTTTCTAGATTTTCTGGAGATCAGTTACAGTAAATAAAAGAAAAACAGTACATCGTTTATACCAAGCTGCATTTAACTCATTTAGTTGAAGTTTTTTAACTTTAACAATATTCATCCAATATGCTCTTGCATAATGAGAGATAAGCAGCATGCACAATTAAAAAGTATTAATTAAATATTTACACATTTTGAAAAAAAGGAATCAAAAAAGCAGAAACAAAAGTTATAGTGCATTTTTTAGTTATCTTCCTGTTGGTTGATTCCCGCTTTCGTCTGCTCCCATTAACTATTTAGTCCTGTACTGTCCCAATCCCCTGATTAAAAGCAAAGATGACTCCCATCCTGCGGGAATCCCACGGGAATCCCGAGACCCTCGGGATTCCCAAAAAAATGTCATCCTCTAATAGGAGTGTGGTTTTCCCCGTCCACCGAATCGATTAAAAGCTGTGTATGAACATGTCTATTTAGTAATACGTATAAACATATCAACTAGACAAGACGTGAGCAAAGCAACCGGGATTAAAAGATCTGTTGAGCTCTCTGTGATCATCAATCATAATCAAATGTGAGCAAGAATGAGTTTTACAAGTTTAAAACGTTTCTAAAACAGTGAATGTTTGTAATGAATTACAGCAATTTTACCGTCTTTACTTTATCAACACAGCTGCATATAAGGCATGTATACAATTATAAAAGAAAATGCTTTAATCCCAGTTTGTGGACATTAAATCTGTCCACAAATCTTTTTATTGTGCATTAACATAATGGATATCCATGCAGCAGTGTATAATAAAGTGTATCCTGTCACTTTGCTGAGCAAAAACAGTGTAAAGCTAAACGTGTGTGTGTGTTCGCACATGTGAACTTTATAATGAGATTGTGTGTGAATCATCATTGCAGAAAGCCTTGAATTAACTCCACAGCAAGTAACATCAAATAGCCGTTTATAAACTGTAGTAAGAGAGATGTGCTTCATTCTTGTCTGTCACTGTGCTGTTAATCTACATGAAGTTTATGGCTTTCACATGCACGTGGGAACGTAGGGTGGGAAGAACCAGCTCATTTGCATTAAAGGCACAGGCAACAGCTACAACCGCTTAAATCTCCCAGATTTAAAAAGGCATAATAATAATCTGATGGGTATTTTGAGCTGAAACTTTACAGACACATTCCTAGGAGACACAAAAGACTTGTATTAAATCTTGAAAAAGAGGTAAAATAGCTGCCCTTTAAAGTTTCTCACTGAAGATTTCTTAGCAATTACCATTTATAATTAGTTGTGTGGATGGACTTATCCAATGGGATGATCTAGTTAAAATGTAATGAACTTATAACTCTAATAAATGTAATACCTTGTTAACAGAAAAGGACCATGTTGTGAGCAAACTTATTTTTGAGGAAGAAGATGCCACCGCTCCAATGGAAATTGAGATCACAAAGATTCAGGAAACCACTGAATCCACCATGGAAATTGAGGTAAGATAAGAAACAACATTCTGTTTATTCTGAATTTAATAACATTGATTTGATTTAGTATATAGAAAGTATAGGAAAGCATATTTACAGTGATACAGTTGATTAAAGTTGATTAACTTAATCCAAAAATCACTTAATTACAAAATGAAAGTAGGAACTCAACATTAAATATGAAAAAATAAAATAAAGAGTTAGAAGTAAAATAAATTGTCACTTTGTAAGATGTTTGGCATATTTCTTTTTTTTTTACGGAGATTTGCATTGATATGCAATTTTTCAGCCAATCCACCTAGAAAATGACTTTATCTTATTATGAACTTGAAGTAAATCCAATGTGATGATCTCTATATTAACTTTACCACTTTAGGAGGAGACCATAGCAGACATCATGAAAGGCAAGTATGATTTTGGTTTTAACATTAATTTACTCTGAAAAATCAATGAATCTTTCTAGCCTAAAATAACTGATGTTCTTCGCTGTTACAGAAGCAGATGACATACCTGTCACAAGACGTAGTACAAGTAGCAATCTGAAACGTAGAGGTATCAGAGAAAATTCAGAAGAGAGGCTTTCAAAGAACATAATCAGGTAACACATAATGTGTCAGTACATTACTAAATAACAGTATTATGTACTACACAATTTACACAATCAACTGTCTTTAAAAGGGTGGAAGACATTGAGGCGGGAGTTAAAAGTCCAATTGAAGTGGCCACTGAGGGAAGTCTTGATAACACTTTTTCTGTAAATGACTCAGAAACTGTGATCATGGTATGTATTCAACCAAATCAATGTTCATGGTTGCTTGATTGCATAACAGATCGAACAATATTATTACATGCATTGTTTTCTTAAAGAAACCCACGTTTTTGGAAAAAGGCTCATTTTAAAAGACCCCTTATAGTTAAATAATTGAATTTCTTTTTTTTACTTTTCAATCAATATCCGGGTCTGGTGGGGGGATTTTTAGCATAGCTTAGCATAAATCATTCAATCCGATTAGACCATTAGCATCTCAATCAAAAATGACTAAAGAGTTCCAATCATTTTTCTATTTAAAGCTTGACTCTTCTGTAGTTACATTGTGTAGTGAGACCAAGCTGATATTTTGTACGCAATGGTACTGCAGCAAAGTTCCTTGATTATCACTGGAATGAGAGTATAGTTTATAGCCTTGTTGACCAAAAATATAGCAACTTTTAATTTTCAGTCAATCTTAGTTGATGGTGCAACTACAGAAGAGTCACACTTTAATTAAGGAAATTCCTGAAACTCTTTGATCAATTTTAAGCATGTGTTTATGATCTAATTCACAAATCTGATTGAATTATTTATGCTAAGTAAGCTAAAAGTGCTCCTACCAGACCCAGAGATTGGCTGAATGGATTCAGAATTGGCAAAACTCAACTATTTAACTCTAGGGGAGTGGTTAAAGGAGCATATTTCCAAAAAAGTGGAGTGTTCCTTTACAATGCAATTTTTCTGTACATTAACATCCTTCTTCTTTTTTTATTTGGCAGAGTACAACTGACACGGTAACTGCGACTGTCACAAGAATATCAGAGTTTAGAAGTTCACAGAAGGAAATGGGAAAATACATAATTACAGCAACATCAGATGGGACTCCAGTCACTCAACTCACCACATCCGAGGAAATAAAGAGTAAAAAAGGCAGTAAAGAGGAATTTGGAATGGTTAAGGAGCATACTGTTGAAATACAAGGAACCATTATAGGGTCTAATGATGAAAGCCAACTTCAGTCTGTGGTAAATGTAGAAATTGTCAAGATGAGTACAGGAACTGAAGAGGAACAACATGAGAATTTAGAAAACAAAGATCTTGAGGAAGATAAATCTGTCAGTGAGACAGGGAAGGGGGAAATAAGACAAATGCTAGATGAACTCGAAGGGGGAAATGCTCAGAGTGAGACTGATGAAACATTTAGCAGGACTGAAGTTTTGGAAGAGATTACAGAGCAACCTGAAATACACGCTAAATTAAGTGAAAAAGAACAGGTTTCTTGGGATGTGGAAATAACAGAGAAGAAAGAAAGAGAAGGAAGTGAGGTTATTGAAGTTCATGGAAAGGACCTAATTGAGGAAAACAGAAATGACAACTTAAGTCCAGAGAAATGTGAAACCATACATAAAAACATAGTTCTGCAGCAGTCTGTAAAAATCAAAGACCAAACAGAGATGGAGGTTCTTTGTACTGAAGAGGTCTTATGTGAACAACAAAAACTGTGTGAGGCCGAAAAAGAAGTCTCTGAACCACACCAAAGAAAGACATACAAGGGCACAGCATTTGAAAAAGCTAAGAAAAATAAAGTAGGCCCTGATGATACAAAACAAGTGTTCAGCCAAAGTAAACTGACTCAAAAGAGAACATCACCTGAAACTCCTTCAAGGAGATCCAAAAGACTCAGGCATGAACCTGCTGAAATGATTAAAATGACAAAGTCTGTAAAAACAAGCCAACAAAGAACCAAACATCACAGCAAAGCTGTTATTCAAGAGGAACATACTGAACAACCAGTAGATAAATATGAACATGATAGTTCTAAGGTTATTGAAGAAAGCTCAGCTGAACACCAGTCAGGAGCAGAGAATGAAGTTAAGGAATGCATCGAAAATGAGCTTACAGTGGAAACTGTATCTACTGTGGACAATGAAATTAGACAAATTGAGAAAACTCTTTATGTGGTTCCAGCTGTTTCTGAATTAGTAAAAGGAGCAGAAAAATCTCATGAAGAAGTACTGCAACAGTCATCTGCAGGACCTATTGAGGTACAAGAATCAAAAACAACATTCGAAGAGCATGAGGAAAGAGTGGAACATAGCAAAACCAAAGTTGTTATTATAGAATTTGATGAGGTTTCTTCTAAGAAGGCAGGTGATGATCATGGAGAAATGGATATTGTTGAACAAGGCGAATTAAAGGATTTGGTGTCAACAAAACATCAAATAGCTGAAGATACTTTAGTTGAAGAACAAGATGGAACATTGAACATGGACACCAAACCAATGGAAGAACTAGCTTGTACTACAGGAGGCTACATCGTAGCAACTGATGTTTCTGTAACTCAAGAACAAGAGAATAAGTCTGAAGTGAAAACCACAGATCTTATTGTTCAAGGCAAAGATGAAAAAACTACAACTGAACATTCTAAAAAGGATCAACAGGATTCATATGAGGAAGACAAACAGTATCCAAAACAAGGTGAACAAGCTAAAAAGAAAAAACTGACCGACGTCTCAAGTAGATCCACAAGACTTAGAGATCAACCTATTGACCCTGGGGTGACACCTGTTAGGAGATCTACACGTAGCAAAGAAGTGATACAACACAAACTGAGTCAGCCACAAACTCGAGCAAAAATTCTGACCGAAAAAAGAATTGACATGGATGAAAATGTTACGCCAGAGGAAAGTGAAATGACAAACACAAATATTGATAAAGCCACAGCAACTTCTTCTGGAAGTTCAGAACTACTGAAAGCTACTGAAACAGATGACAAAGTGGAAGTACCTCAAATTACAGAGGCTACAGAGGAGAAGATCCCAGCAGTGGAAGTAGAAAATGACGATGCCACAGAAAAAGCAACCAAAGAAATCAAAAAGATGACAAATGAGGAAATTAATTTAGCTGGTGAAACAGACATAGAAATGTGTAGCCTTGTTCATGAGCAGGACATCCATGCACCTGTCAGCACAGAAATAAGTCTTAGACATAGAACAATAAAGGTTACATCTACACCAATAAAAAAATCTGGACGTGTACAAAAACGAGAAGATGAGGTTGTTGTTGAACATCAGGCAAGACATACATTAATGAGCAAGAAAAAAACAGAAATAATCTCAGTTACAGAAGAGAGACATGAAGTTATGGATCAATGCGTGAGTAAGCTGGAGAACACAGGAGCAAGCTTAGCTGAATTGGAGCCAGTGGAAAAAACAGAGATAAGTAGAGATAAATATGAAGAAATCTCAGCAACAACAGAAGAGGTTGTGAATGTCTGTACGTCAGTTAGTACAGCAGAGACCTGTCTTGAAGAAATGTCAAACTCAAATGTTAAGGAAACTATGGCTGTTGAAATTAAGAGTTCTGAAAAAGTTGTGATTGGTGTAGATATAGATGATAAAGAGAAGGCCATTCAGACTGTTGGAAGTCCTGAAGAAGAGGTCTCACTTCTAGAAGCAGATCATGATGAGGGGGCAGAGAAAGATGATGGTACTCAAATAATAGGATTACAAAAATCCACAGTAGTACTTGTAGATTTGAGCCAGGTTTCCCAAGATAGAGAAAAAGATGGTGAGAGTTCAGATTTCTTAATACATTCCAAAACTGAGGAACAACTGAAACTAGATGAAACAGACAAAAATGAAAAAGAACTGGAAGAGGATAAACAGCAAGAACAACAAAAAAATAACGACACTGAAAAGATTCCTGAGGAAGAAAAAATGGAAGACACAGTTGTAGAAAAATATGACCTTAATAAACTCAATGAGGAACAAATGCCAACAGAAGATCAGAGTAAAGATAAAAAGATTAGCAGTCTTTCTCTAGAGAAACCTGTTCAGGAAAACCTAGATGAGGCTGCAGTCACCACAGAAAGAAGTCTTAGACGTAGAACAATACAAGTTCACTCTCCACCAAAAAGGAAAGATGGGCATATACAAAAGCAAAAAGCTGAAACTTTGGGACATACAACTGAAATAGTCCTAATAACAGAAAAAAGAGCTGATGAAGGGGATCAAGCATGTGCAGAAGTAGATGATGAAGACAAAGAACCTCATGAATTAAATGTAAAAGCTACTGAGAAGGGCATCCCTGAAGAGGATGTTGCAGAAAAAGAAAGTGTAGAAATAAACAAGATGGTCATCAAGGAAACAAGTGTAGCTGTGACAAAGAACATGAATCAGGAGGCAGATCAAATGAGAGAAGAAGCCACATCAGAGCAACAGGAAAATCATCCACTGGAACAGAATGAGAAGGAAACAGTTGAGACAGAAAATCTGACTGACTTAGTGGTTAGCAAGGAGCAAACAACCATTTCAAAGGGGACTATCGTTCAAGTAGAAGAAGAGGTCTCACAGGTGGAATGCTTTGAACCCAGTCAAAGTGACCAAGAGGGGATCACAAGAAGAAGTCTTAGGCTCAGTACCAAATCAGTTAAATCTACACGGAAGACCAGATCATCTGCATGTCTCCACAAAGCAGAGTCAGAACCAGTGAAAAAAGTAGACAAGAATAGCGATGAATATGAAAAATCCTCAGCAGCAACAGAAGAGACTGTAAATGTCTGTGAATCAGTAATTACTGTCGAGACCAACTTGGAAAGTCTTAATGAATTAGCAAACACAAATGTTGAGGAAACTCCAGCTGTTGAACCTGAGACTTCTAAACTGCTACTGGGTGCAGAAATAGATGGTATAGAGGAGAAACCTCAGACTGTGGAGGTGGTCCCTTTTTTAGAAGCAGAAGCAGATGACTTGGATGAGAAAGATGACAGAACTTCAGTTATACAACTGCAGAATGCCACAGTAGTACTTGTAGATTTAAACAAACTTTCCCAAAACACAGAAAGAGAAAGTGATACTCTAGAATTCCCAACACTTTCTCAGACAGAGGAAAACATTGAAATGGAGGAACCAAACAGTGAACATGAACTATGTAATGTAACACCAGAGGAGAAAGAACAGCAAGAGCTACACATCGAGAAAGACACTAAAGAGACCCATGAGCAGGACAAAATGGAGAAAGAAAACAGAGATGAAGAGAAAAATAAACCCAATAAACAAGATGTGACATTTGTGAGGCAAAAACTAACAGAAAATCTGATAGAACAAATTGATGTAATAGAGACAGAAACCATAGAGGGTTATAGTGCTGTAACATCTGGAGAGACTCAAGAGGTAACACAAATGGCAGACAAAACAAATATCATTAAGGAGACAGAACAGGATCAAGATGTTGCTTTAAAAGAGAAACAAGCAGACAGTAAGGCAGAGATGAGCAGTATTGCTCACGGGGCATCAGAAATTGTCCAAGAGATCTTAGAAGAGGAAACACCCTTCAGCACAGAGCGAAGTCTCAGGCGAAGAACAATAATAGTTCAGTCTCCACCAAGAAAAAAATCAAGACTTGTACAAAAACAAGTGGCAGAAGCCTTTGAGGATAAAAATGGAAAATTAACAGTTACAGGAACGGTAGTTGAAGAAATGCCTCAAAAATTAACTGTAGAAACTACAGATAAGGAGATCCCACTTGCTGAAGAGGAACCTAAAGATTGTGTAGCAGAAAAAGTGGCTAAAAAAATTAACCAAGTGGAGAACAATGTAACATACACAAACAAGGAGATACTAGAGACGGAAGAAGATAATTTAGTGCAACAAGATATAAATGAGAAACAAACAACTGATGCAGAAGAATCCTTAGAAATTGACCCTGTAGTTAGCAAGGGGCAACCATACAATGTAGAGGGGACCACCATTCAGGTAGAGGAAGAGGTCTCACAGGTGGAATGCATTAAACCCAATCAAAGTGGCTATGAAGGAATCACAAGAAGAAGTCTCAGGCTCAATGTCAAATCAGTTAAAACTACACAGAAGACCAGATCATCTGCACGTCTCCACAAAGCAGAGTCAGAACCTGTGAAAGAAGTATATATGAATAGAGATGAATATGAAGAATCCTCAGCAACAACAGATAAGACTGTGAATGTCTGTGTACCAGTAATTACTGTTGAGACCAACTTGGAAAGTTTTGATGAATTAGCAAACACAAATGTTGAGGAAACTCCAGCTGTTGAACCTGAGACTTCTGAACCTCAACTGGATGAAGAAATAGATGGCAAAGAGGAGGGAACACAGACTGTAGAGGTGGTCCCTCTTGAAAAAGCAGAGCTTGATGGCTTAGTTGAGAAAGATGACAGAACTTCAGTTATACAACTGCAGAAAGCCACAGTTGTACTTGTAGACTTAAACAAACTTTCTCAAAACACGGATGGAGAGAGTGATACTCCAGAAATCTCAATGCATTCTCATACAGAGGAAAACAGTGAACTGGACAAACCAATTTATAGTGAACATCAACTATGTAATGTAACGCCAGAGGAGAAAGAACAAGAACTAAAAAATGAAAAAGAAACTAAAAAGACTCCTGAGCATGACAAAATGGAGAAAGAAAACACAGATAAACCAGAAGAACAAAATGATGCAAAAGAGACAGAAACCATAGAGGGTTATAGTGCTGTAACATCTGGAGAGACTCAAGAAGTAACACAAATGGCAGACAAAACAAATATCATTAAGGAGACAAAACAGGATCAAGATGTTGCTTTAAAAGGGAATCAAGCAGACAGAAAGGCAGAGATGAGCAGTATTGCTCACGGGGCATCAGAAATTGTCCAAGAGATCTTAGAAGAGGAAACACCATTCAGCACAGAGCGAAGTCTCAGGCGAAGAACAATAATAGTTCAGTCTCCACCAAGAAAAAAATCAAGACTTGTACAAAAACAAGTGGCAGAAGCCTTTGAGGATAAAAATGGAAAACTAACAGTAACAGGAAAGGTAGTTGAAGAAATTAATAAAGAAATGACAAAAATAGATGGTAAAGAGGAAATGCCTCAAACATCAACAGTAGAAATTACAGACGAGGAGATCCCACTTGCGGAAGAGGAACCTAAAGATTGTGTAGCAGAAAAAGTGGCTTTAGAAATTAACCAAGTGAAGAACAAGCTAACATACACAAACGAGGAGACAATAGAGATGGAAGAAGCTAATTTAGTGCAACAAGATAATGATCCACTGGTTATAAATAAGAAAGAAACAACTGAGACAGAAGAATCCTTAGAAATGTACCCTGTAGTTAGCAAGGGGCAACCATACATAGTAGAGGGGACCACCATTCAGGAAGAGGAAGCTGTCTCACAGGTGGAAAGCAATGAATCCAATCAAAGTGGCCAAGAAGGGATCACAAGAAGAAGTCTCAGGCTCATTACCAAATCCGTTAAAACTACACAGAAGACCAGATCATCTGCACGTCTCCACAAAGCAGAGTCAGAACCAGTGAAAGATGTAGATATGAATAGAGATGAATATGAAGAATCCTCAGCAAGAACAGAAGAGGCAGTGAATGTCTGTAAACCAGCAATTACTGTTGAGACTAACTTGGAAAGTTTTGATGATTTATCAAACAAAAATGTTGAGGAAACTCCAGCTGTTGAACTTGAGACGTCTGAACTGCTTCTGGGTGTAGATGGTAATGAGGAGGAACCACAGACTGTGGAGATGGTTCCTCTTGAAGAAGCAAAGTCTGATGACTTGGTTGAGAAAGATGACAGAACTTCAGTTATACAACTGCAAAATGCCACAGTTGTACTTGTAGATTTAAACAAACTTTCTCAAAATACAGATGAAGAGAATGATACTCCAGAAATCTCAACACATTCTCAGACAGAGGAAAACATTGAACTGAAGGAACCAATTTATAGTGACCATGGATTGGGTAAACTGACAGCAGAAGAGGAAGAAAACCAAGTACTACAAATGGGGGGAAATATTGAAAAGACCCCTGAGCTGAAAGAAATGCAGGAAGAAGTCACAGATAAAAAGCAGAACAAATATAACAAACAAGATGAGATATTTGAGGGGCAAAATCTGACAGAAGATTTGGAAGAACAAAATGATGTAATAGAGAAACAACATCTGGAAGCCACAGCAATAGCAGACAAGTCAAATATAATTCAGGATGTTGATTTAAAAGAGAAACAAACAGAGGGTGAGGCAGAGATGAGCAGTCTTCTTCAGGAGTCAGCAGTATCTGTCCAAGAGATATTGGTGCAAGATGAGGCACCTATCAATATAGAGAGAAGACTCAGACAAAGAACAATAACAATTCAATCGACACCAAGAAAGAAAACGAGAGATGTGGAAAAACAAGAGGCTTCTGGAGATAAAGTAGGAAAAGTACAAATAACCAGAAAGGCAGCAAAAGAAATGCACAAAGAAATTGCAAAAGTGGATGGCAACGAGGAAACTATTAAGCAATCAACTGTAGAGGCTACTGAGAAGATCTCATTTATAGAAGCAGAACCTGATAAATGTGTAACAGAAAACGTAGCTGAAGAAATTAACAAGGTGGAGAACAAGGAAACAAATTTAGTTGTGGCAAAAGACACAGATGAGGAGGCACCAGACATGAAAACAGCAGCCAATTTAGAGCAACAGGAAACTCATCCATTGGCCATAAATGAGGAAGGAACAGTTGAGACAGAAAAACCCATGGATATCAATAAAGATCCAGTGGTTAACAAGGTGCAAACATATGTTTTGAAAGAGACCATCATTCACTTAGTAGAGGAGGAGGTCCCACACGTGGAAAGCATAGAAAGCAATCAAAATGACCATGA